TCATAAAGATCTGGCAAATTCTGATAAATATTACATAGGTGTAATACCCAAGTAATGTCAAGTCATACCAACTCTCTAATCCTTTCAAAAAGACAACAACAACAATATAAATAATAATAATAATAATCATAATAAATAACACACAGAAGCTATGTCATAAGATAAAAACAAGCTGCAATGAGTTCTTATTGGGATAACATAACCTAACATTACACAGAAAAATCCCTAAAATCAAAAGTCTTTGGTTGCAATTTGCTTTGAACATTATGATTAAATGAAGCTGACATTTGGCATTAATTAAAAGGTGATAGACACCCCCTTTAAGATATGTCACAAAAGGCTTCACACCAATAATTACCATCCTCTGTCTTAAATATGTTTCAGACTCTGCTAATAGTATACACCTTCCTAACCCATTCTACTTAAGTCATGTTTCCACTTCACATTTTTAAGTAAAATAATCAAGTAACATTTTCCTGTCCTAAACCAATAACCACTCAGGCCCGTAGACAGGGAGGGGTTCGGGGGGTTCGAAAGAACCACCCTTTTTGTCAGGAAAAGGTCTAATCTGAGTAAATTTTGTTTTATGTGCACTAAGAAATCATTGTAAAAAGTCCACTTTTTCGGAAAAAGATTCCCCCCTTTTGAAACTGTTGGCTAAGGGCCTGCCACTACACATTTAACTCTACTGTCCACTTCCAGGTACCACATTATTAGGGCAGTGGACACACTCTGGGGGGTGCATTCCCAACGAAAATGTCGCTCTGCAAAGATCGATCCAACTCCGCAGGGGCCCTGGTTGAATGCAATCATGGCGGCATGGTATAATGTGTTAATCTGATTGCATTCAGCGAGAGTCCCTACTATGTTGGATCGATCTACATGGAATAATAGTTGTATTGGGAATGAGCCCTAAAGTGTGTTACTGTTAGCAGGAGCTGATGTGATCATATCTGTAAACATGACTGCTAATTTCAAATCAAAATCATAAAGTTTACATAAGTATTAAGTTTTTGGTATATGCATTTTGCTTCATCTTAACTGTATTGTGAGGCTGAGATTTTTTTCAGTATATATACCATTAAGTCAACTAGTTCACAGTGAGTGTCTTATTCAAATCACTATATTGAAACTATACATCTTGAGAAAAAAATACTAATTGTTCATCCCATTTTAAACTTATGTAAGACACAGTACAAATAAATATATATAAATCAACATAATTTGACAACTCTTATGAGAGGATAGGCAGGGATCCAAAAACAACTTATTCGGTTTATATTGAAGAAAAAATAAGAACATGCCAGAATCTTCTTTTTGATTGAAAATAAATATTATCTTTTTAATCACAAGAAGTGCATTATCAGCCTATAGTACCATGACCAAGAGTTTTGTACCCCATTTTTGGAAATAACATTTGACCACACCCTTCTTTTTCAAGGAAAAATATTCCATTGCTTTAATCCTACAATTTTTTTAAATCAAAAACAGATTTGTCTCAAGATTTCAGCTTACAATTATCCAAAATACAGAAACCGAGGAGGTGCATGATTAGAATATTGCTGGAAAAACAAAAATAAGTTCCATAAAAACCTTTTATTTCACACGAATCCTCTTTTCTTGTCTAACATTAACACAGTATCACAGGAATTAATAACAAGTGAAAGTATATTTAACATCAGAAGTGCTATAAGTGGACAGCTCTCCCTGAAATGCTGCATAGATTTCTATTCAATAGAAAATCATTGTGAATCACTGCGTAACCTGCTCTTCTCGAGTGAGACTTGTACACCAACAATGTGGAAATATTCAAACAAAACTCAAAACGCCTTCCACGGGGCACCAAACTCGTCATAGCAGGCCACCCAAGAAAAACTGTTTTTATCATCCATTACTATAATCTCATGTTAAAATGGTCAGTGCCCAGTACCCTGGATGTCAGTGTTTCAGATTAAGTTGTTCAAAAGTCCTCATATTTAATGACATTTACACATTAAGTAAATAGAAGTTAAAGCAGTGCACCCAATGCCCCTTGCATTGAGCAGCCCTGGTTAAGTCAGTTATTAAACATTGTCTGTGCTTCGATTGAATCCGCCATTGTTTTGTTGTGTTTGCTTCTGTTTCACTCCGAACACTAAAACATATTTGATCTAGCAGTGTGAAGAAGCAAAGAGAGGTTTTGTATTCGTTGAGTGCGCCTCTTTGTCAGACATCAAAATAAATGGATGCTGAAATAGAGTCATTTGCCAATGAGTTATTACAGCTGCACAATGGGGAAGCTTTAAGACACACAAATATGGATGTGGTATCGGCAATCTGAACAATAGGCGACTGGAGATCACTTTGTGTTCAACACAATCGCATCATAATGCTCCTGCTTCACACAACCACCTTGAAAATACGCAAACAAAAGAGAGCAAATTATACGCCTTGCTATTCTTCATTTCCTAAGTGACGTTAATACTGAATACCCTTAACGATTGATAAATACCATAGCTTGAGAAAGTACGGAATAGTGATTTTTTTCACCGTTCAATCAATCCTAGGGCGCCAAGAGCTTGCTAGTTAACTGGCGGACAGTTGATTAAACTTCGATTACTGATATTGCAACAATGCTCCTTTTGTTCCACAAACATAAACAATTAATCAAACTGATAACAATCTAAGGTTTTATTGCAGCTCTGGTTATTAAGGAACACATGGATTATCGTTTTTGTGTGCATTGTTTTGCCAATACTATTTGGCTGGGCTACCGATCTTTGCGTGTTTTTCTCATGCTTTAACGAGCACGGTGCCCGAAAAACATTCACAATTAACAATAAGGTTACATATCTGAGGGGAGGCACTAAAGTGTTTTGATTTGTTGGTCTTTTAAATTGTAACAAACACAATTCTATAATTAATTCCTTCTCTCGTAATGTGGAAAATCATAAATAATATTACTTCAAGCAGCAATTCACACCCCTGGGTAATGTTTTCTCATTAACTTCAAACTTCCATTACATAAAATACAATCATCAAAGAATCCATCAGTGACACAATCCACTTTCATTCAAGCTTCACTCCCCATAGAAAGTGACTATAGATAGCCAACAAAATATTGTCACCTACCCAGACCTTAATCACTGACTGAAGAAACCAAGAACATCACTAACCATGCCACTATGTCTTGAGTCTTTTCAATATGAAGCCCACAGCATAATTAAACCTTCATCTTCACCCCTCCCCCTTCTTCACCACTGCCAAGGAGGTACCATGATGGTTTTGTCTCACATTAACAAAAAAATAAAAATAAAAATAAAGGACATATCTCAATAAAATGTTCAGGATAGATCAGAAATGAGCTAACCAAGAAACCATTATAATTTGTTGGTGATCTACTGATTAATTAATTAAGAAGAAGAAGGAGGACTGAAATCTGCACTGCATGATTGCTTTTCTGCTTTACAACAGAATCGGGTGACACATGAAAATATTGGAACTTATACTAAAAACTGATTAGCACACACACCCATGCACCCACCCATACACACACACACACACACACACACACACACACACAACACACACACACACACACACACACACACACACACAAACACACACACACACACACAGGTGCAGTTTGGGTTGGCAACTCCTTGAAGGCATGGCCCTCACTTTTAAACTCCTCGTTCCGAACTGCTCTCAGCTTCCTTAAAGCCTCCCAAATCTGTGTGCCTTCATCCTATCAACTGCTGATAAACCTCTCTTGATCGATGATCACAAGGCCAGACTGTTTGTAGTGTATTAAACATAGATTAGGGGGCTTGGTAAGTTTATTACTTTGTGAAAGGAGGACCTGAGCTGTTCTGTTACCTTACTTCTGTCACAAGGAGAATGTGTCATAGCAAGGGGAAAGTTGACTGTATTGGAGAGGGGAGAATTTTGTGATATGCCTCAACCAGGGCCTTTTGGCTAAGTCACACAGGGCCCCCAATTTCTCTGGTGAGGATGATGAAGAGGAGAATGTGAAACTACAAGGACACTGTTACTAATTCTCAGTGAGTGGCCCCATGATTTAACACCTGTGGTGGCCCTTATCTCCGAGGAGGGATATTTATGTGTACGTCATGTCAAGGAGGATATCTCTTGTCTTCTAGCGAGCACCTGCGTTGTTGACTCGGAGCACATTCGCTACTGATATCTTTATCACGGCCTCAATAGAGAATTGACATTAAATTCAATAACTGTTGACACAGGAAGAAAGGGGATGTGTACATCTTAGGTGCGGTATCATTCCTCAAGACACTTGTTGGTAGCCACTGCAAAGATGCTGCGAGGACATTAAAAAGATGTCTAAAGTTATACAAATAATTCAATTGAATAATTCAGAGGTATTCACATCTTCAGAAGATTTTTTTCCTGTGCTATCTTTACATGTAGTTTTGTGAATTGGGAAGGAGTTCTTTAAGGCAAAGTAGAGTGCTCACTTTGAAGTTGTTATCCCACTGAGGAGACATTTTGATCTTAAATGATGAAACACCAATTTGAGCTAACTTTGTACAACATGAAATAATCACTGACAGTAATCAAATCTGTGGGTTGGGTGGTAATACATAAAATCTTTTCTATGATTTGGCATTGTTAAATATTAGGGAATGTCATTCACTATATTTCCACATTGCTCTAAGTTGGTGAAGGAGGCAAGGGGGGGGAGAGGTTATAATAAAGGATGGTCACTGTTGATTGTTTTCTTATGGAGAAAAAACTGAATTTCACGAGAAGTTGATCAAGATAGATTTCCTTGCTGGTGATAAATAAATAAAGAAATAGGCAGTTAAAGATATGTAAAATGAAAAGTTTATATCATCATCATTATTAATGGAAAAAATTCCCACAAAAAAAAACAATATTTCTTAATTTCACATGCAAAAATAAAAGCAAGTCTCAAAACCATATGACATAAACATACATATACAGGTGTGTGTGGAGAGGGGGGTGGAGGGTGGAGGGGGGGAGGGGGTGTCATCCTGAAGGTGTCACTGGACAAAGACAGTCAATCCAGAAAGCCATAGATGATGTCACTTTTACCTGAAGCTACCCCTTCGAAATTTCTAGCTACAAGCTTTAATGTGAAGGGTTTTACAAGAGTGAGTGTCGCAGTGGGAATAGTCCATTGAAAGACTGACTCTACACCAACTTACACAATCCCCAATTGACACTCCATCACCTTAACCTCTTCATCACTGACACCTACAAGACATTAAGAAAACAGACACTTTGTCAATAGGAGGCTCTAATAGAGCTGACACTTTGTTCACACCAGTTGTATACGCTTGCCAATGAAAGAATATGTCAACAGCTGCATCCTGTCTTGAGTGATAGGAACTATCTTATCTAGCCACTTCACGTTCTCCTTGGGTCTCCACATTGCTGGAAAATAAATAGTACCTACGTTAAAGTGTGTGCGCTCCGTGCATGTGCACACGCATGCATGAGTTTGTATGATATAAAAAAAAATCTTACTATTAAATTGAAATGGCTTCCGAAATATATGTATTTGCTGAGATATAATGACTTAAAGTAATGGCATATTTATTTATATCTTTTTACTTCATATCCAAATTGCTTGAACTTTCTACAGGACTCTTGAACTTCTTCACATTTATAATTTAAAAATTAGTTTTGTATGCCCCTCCGTGTGTGTGCGTGCGCGCACGTGTGTGTGTGTGTGTGTGACAACAAAGTACCCTTCCCAAAATTGACATTTTAGGTTAATTGATAGTGCTGAGATAAGCCAAAACTCATTTTTTTACCTGTTGTACTGCTTCTTTTGGTAACATTCTCGGCAGGTGAGGGTGTACCTGAAATGTATGAACACACACTTTGTTCATCATGGACACTATGACATTGCACGCACATGCAAGCACGTGCTTGTTCATTACAGTACAGCACATCTTAAAGTTATATTACAGATCATAATTATAATACTGTTATATATTATTAATGATTTTTCTGTTTCAACTTGTACTTCCTTGTTCTGCACCAGGTAACAACTACAATACACCTAAAAACTGCTAAACAATTGAAAATAAAACATGAAAGGTATAAATGAGTTCAGTGCCATTAATGTATGCATAATAATTGGTATTAGTACCAGTATACTATTTCATTAAAGATGTAGTAGATGAACCTTTTGTATCAAAGTAAATTGAGATCTGTAACAGCTTTATGCTGTTCATCTTATTTATGCCACTGAATTATTATAACTGAAAGAAAAATCAACAGTCACTATTTCAAAATACTGGTGCTACTGAAATTTCAATGATACCATGTAATTTTTTTAATCCTTTAAATTACATTAGGAACCTTTGTCAAACAAATTGAAACAAAAGACTGCTTTTTTGGCAATTATTCTTATCAATGTTTAATAATTTAAATGTCTTTTTTTTCATGAATAATAAATTGAATGTTGCCTTTGTCAAAAACAAATACCCAGTATCAAGCTTACATAATCAGTATAAATGTGGCAATCATAGCTAAGAGCTTTCAAACAAAACAGATTCATTGTGTTGCATAAGTCACTCATTCAGAAGATGGCTCAAAAGTTTTGGAATACATTTTGGGTCGATGTCATACATATTTCTTTTTGATAATAGCTAATTAAAAATCATGACAAATCTCAAAAAAGAAAAAACAGAATAAAAAAATTGAACAAAGGGCACATGCAATACAATTAACTACCGTGAACTTAGAGGTTTTCTACCATATATTAGTATAAATAAGCCTGGGATTTACATACAATAAGCAACCAGCACATGTACACAAAAATTCTTAGTGAAAAATTATCATAATGGAAACAGCTCATTCAAATGGTTTGAAAACAAAATTTTATTTATTCCATACATTTCTTAATATCATGTAAAATTATACAAGCTTAAGAGTGTGAAAAAACAGCATAGTGTGTGTGTTTTATTTGCGAAAACACATGACTTTGGTTTCAGACTAACTACTTAGGTATTACTTTGAACTTAAGTTGTCTTAATTTTGGGCCTAAAAGCAGGGGCGGATTTAGGCCGTCTTCTGGGTCTTCCAGAAGACGGTCAGATTTTCAAGTTTACATTGACTGGTATCCAATTTTTAATGTTGGAAGACGGTCAAAATTGGAGGATGAATCAACAAAGATAATTTGGAAGACTGTCAGTATATAGCTCTGGATCCGCCCCTGTAAAAGTTTAAGCCAATTTCCAGATTCTTTTGTAAAACAAGTACCTGCTTTCTGCATATACACCTAAAACTTTTCATAGTTAAAATGATGAGAACAGGCCTCAGGTAAAAGAGGCCATGCACACTTAACACACACCCTGTCTCACTGGTCAAAAGGGAGGTTCTTTCCACTCCACCATACCCACTTCCCCCACCTCTACATTTTAAATCAACTGTAATGAAGGGTTTTGTCTGAGGTGATTGAAAGGAAAAGAACTCAGTGTGCCACAATAAGAAAATGGATAGAAATATTTAGAAAGGGAAAATCTTTAGGGTGAAATTTGTTAGGTCATTTGATGACTTTTTCCATNATTTTAAATCAACTGTAATGAAGGGTTTTGTCTGAGGTGATTGAAAGGAAAAGAACTCAGTGTGCCACAATAAGAAAATGGATAGAAATATTTAGAAAGGGAAAATCTTTAGGGTGAAATTTGTTAGGTCATTAGATGACTTTTTCCATCTTTTTTTGTTTTTTTTTTTTGCAAATTAATATGAAACTACAGAAGAATTCAGCATTCATAAAAGGGGAAAAAAGAGATGGAACCCATTAAAGATATTAAAAGCTATTCTGCATGGAATCTCATGCTACCTTATCACCCGGGAGGTCTATTAATTGAATGAAGAAAAAAAAACCCATACAAATTTTTACACCAGAAGCGTTCTAATTATCATGGCGACATTTGCACACTGTTATGTCCACTGAGATCGACCTGTAACATAATACACATGTATAAACACGCAAACGGAGCAGAACACGTTCTCCAGTCCGTTTCATGCATGACATTACTGTGTAAAGATCACGGTCTGTCAATGTCGCAAATGTAGTAGCGACAACGTAGAACGCAGGAAGAGAGCTGTGGTAACAGCGCAAGGAGTTCCTTCCTTAAGAATTGTAACAAAAACGCAGGTCGTATTAAGTCAACAGTGCCTGGATACACAAGAGGCGGTCTAAGTGAGCCGCCATTGTCTGAAGCTAGGACGACCTGGATGCCAGTTTCTTTGGGTTAATTGTTTAATGAAAAGATAGAAAACTCTATGATTTGTGAGCAAATTGTGACTGATATAATACAAATAACAAAGAGCATGGCATTGTTGTTATGTGCGTCATGTCTTCTTACATTGATTTAATCTAAAAAAGGATTTGTGATATTGAATTTATCCTATGTTTCCCATTCATCCATTTTTTTACTTTGATTTGGAAAAATAGGATTTATCTAAGCTATTATCTAAAAAACAGAGAAATAAATTACATTTCAGGCATCCAACTGGACATTTTCCATGTAAACTGTGGCATAGACAGAAATAAAACCTTCAACTTTACAACTATGAGTATATTAGTATGTGTTTTTTATTACAAATCATTAAAATGTGCCCCTAAAGGAATTAAATCAATCCATTGTTTCCAACATTTTCTGAGGAAAGTGGTTTGTGTGTGCGTGTGTGTGTGCGTAGGAAAGAAGGGCATGGCTCAATCCAATCACAAAGCTCAATCCAAATGCTTTAAGCTGCAAAAATAAAATTAAATAGTACCGATGTATTCATACAGATATCAAAACTATAGATATCAAACATTCTCCTGAATCTTATTAAACTTAAACCAACATGTTGATTATAGATTTGCAAATATACTGCTTTAATGGCACCTAGATGACTTTGACTTTGAGAATTAGCCACATGCTAATCAGTTCTGAAAAACAGGATGAACAAACAAATTTTCAGTCCCACAGAGAAATTAATGTGAAGTCAATCTAGACCAATTTTACAACTGTGAGTATAGTTACTGTAGTATTTTTAGACAAATTTATCAGTAAAATGTACCCCTACAAGATTTAATGCAATCCACTGCTTCCCACATTTTCAGGGGAAAGTGATGTGTTTGGTGTGTGTGTGTGTGCATGTGTGTGTGTGTGTGTGTGTGTGTGTGTGTGTGTGTGTTTGTGCAGTTGGAAGTGGTAAAGAAGAAGCTCAATCCAACTACTTTAAGCTGTGAAAAATAAAGAGTTTTCTTATATACATGCAGATGTCAAAACTGCAGATATCAAACATTCTTCTTGTTCAACTTGAACCAACATGTTGATTATAGACTTGCAAATATACTGCTTTAATGGCACCTAGATGACTTTGACTTTGAGAATTAGCAACTTGCTAAACAGTTCTGAGAAACAGGATGAACAAACAGAGAATTTAATGTAGAGTCAGAAGGCAATCTAGAGCAACTAAATTGAAAAAAAAGTTTTTATCAAGCAACTTTAAAAGTTACAGTTATTAACTATAAACTATGACTATCAAATACAGAAAAGAAAATTGCCATCAACCAGCAATGTAAAAGCTACCACAGCTTGCAGGCAGGGCAGGGGGTGTGACAGAATGGTTTAAAACTTAGCAAAATGCACCTTGCAATGGCTACAGAAGGTTGCCACTGAATCTATCAATATTTCTGTGATTTTTCTCATGGGAGGGATAAAAGGGTGGAATTTACATAAAAAAGACCCCGCCATTCCCCTAAATTGATAGCTACAGGCCTGCACCATGCATGTACAATATATTTAACATGACTTAATTTAATAATAAAATAATATTAATAATAATAATAATAGTAGTAGTAGAAATAACAAATAAGTAGTAGTAGTAGGTTTTCAAGTGAAAGTTTTGGCAAGGGCATAAATGCTAAGCATTACTATTCATAATGATAAATTGTGTGGGCATATTTATACTATTTTGTGGTTACAAGTGAGGCCAAGTAGGTCACAGAAGTAAGTACTCCAACACAGGTGAAGGCCTTGGGTGGAATCATTTGACTATCAAGACCTCAAGTAATTTTAGAACTTGTACCATTTACCGAACTCAACAGTTCAAATCAAAACACATTAATCGTCTGCGACCTGCTCATATTAGTCCTAGTAGTGGGAGTTAATTATCTGAATAATGAGCAAAGTTCCACTCACTGATCTCTCTCTGTGTCAACAGAAGAGCTTAACTTCAGTATGTATCAATATTCCCGATTCCTAAGTCTGCTACACCGCTACTTTGCTATTTTATTTTAATATACACACGTGTGCCCTGTATGAGTTTAAACACCGTTTAATTCAGATATATACAATATTCTGTATTCAAAGCTAATGTTAATAGAACCCAATCATTTTTACCTTGCACTGACAGCGTTCAAGTACTTAGCTGTTGACATGTTCACGATTAACTCGTTGGATTTATCGATTTGTTAAGCATTCATGTTTAAAACTAAGACACTTCAACTCCATGTTGATTACTTGTGCATATATTGACCAATGAAATTCTACCTAAGGCTTCAATGGACAGCCAATTAGATCGAACCTCACATCGATCTCACCTGGCGGAGCTGTTTAGTAGGCTTTGATTGGATGAACAGCTGTGACTTCCGGAGGTGCGCGACACTTGCAAATACAGGTACACATAAAGGCACTTTGAAGTTTTCCGCTTAGACAGAGAGGAACTTAGTCGGGGCGAGGAAAGCACGCAACTTGTACGAACGTCGAACTTCGACGGATTTTACATCAGTCAGTAGCAGTAGACTTATATAATATCCCATAGACAACGAGAGCTTATCTCAAAGCTCGAAGATATATTTATTGTGAGTATTATTAGTATTATTTACACTTGAAGAACTTGACAGTAACTTTGGAACAAGTTAGCACAGCAGTGAAGTTTACTGCACAGTGTGTCACAGTTGTAAACTGAGGAACTTTGTCATGATGTCAAAATCACCCGATCACGTAAAGCGGCCCATGAATGCGTTCATGGTTTGGTCGCGAGGGCAGAGGAGAAAAATGGCCCAAGAAAATCCCAAAATGCACAATTCCGAGATTTCAAAAAGACTTGGAGCCGAATGGAAATTACTATCAGAAGACGAGAAACGTCCGTTCATTGATGAAGCCAAACGCCTGAGGGCTCTACACATGAAGGAACACCCAGACTACAAGTACCGACCGAGACGCAAGCCAAAATCACTTCTGAAGAAGGATAAGTATGCTTTCCCAATCCCCATGATCACTGGCATGAACGGGCTGCACGCCGGCTTTCCTCCCTCCTCTCAGAGTTTCACGGCAGCTGGTTACACATCACAATCAGAGGCTCTCTCGGCCAGCGAGAAGATGCGTGCCTACTTCAGCGGACCTGTCGCCGCCGCCAACCCGGGCGTCCCCGCCTCCTACTACCCCTCCGTACACTACGACCCCGCAGCCCTGAGTAAGCTGGACTCCGCCGCCGCGATCCGTGCCTCAGATGTGATGACCAACCCCTACACGACGTACACGACGGCCAGTGCCTTCAGTGCGGCAGCGGCGGCCCAGGCGGCTGCCTTCGCGGCCCCTCCCGCTGCACACACCCATTCCCCACCCACGGGGCTGTACGGACAATATATGCTCCCTCCTGCTTATCTCCCCTCGCAGGAACTACATAGACTCCCCACGTACGTTTTCCCCGGCGCTGCGGCCGTCAAAGCCGAGGATCACTACAGGCATCTTACTGGGGCAGTGGTATAGTGTACCATTCATAACACACACCGTCGCCTAATTCCAGCAGGTGCCCGCCTGTTTAAAATCTCATATCATACAAACTACATGCCAGCCTGGACTATGGATTTACTTACTTTACTCACTCATTGCATACCTAACTTACATATAAACAGTGCCACCAGAGCCGGCCGGGTATCTTATCTCGTCGTAGCCGTAGCCAAGCCAAGCCAAACTCTTGCAGTAAACTGCGAAGATTTCGTCGCGTGAGTTGACTCACCGCCTTGACAAGGGTCGTGCTGGGTTCTAAACCCACTTCATCCGACCCGTTAAATGTAGGGATCCATAGACATAGTAGGGTCAGTTAAGATGTGAGCGAGAGAGAGAGAAAGAGTGAGTGAGAGAGAGGTATTCAGGCATAGTCTTATAAAAATGCAGAGATACTCTGTGTGTCTTATTTGTGTTACTGTACAGAAATTATGTTATATTTTGATAAAGCTAGAGATATGTTCAGTTTTTCCCTCGTTTTCATTAAATGTGTTCACTACATAAGAAATTTAAGATAACGTGTTTTCTGGTTTAAATATTTGTGTATTAATAGTACCTTGCCGGTAGTAGGTGAATTAGACCATTTCTTATTTTTCTTTTTGCCATAATGATTCGGATAAAATTTGGAGAACTTTTATTTAGAAGATCGCGTTTTCCTCTTGAGTAGGATTTATGGTGTTTTATTATTATTTAAAATTTGTCCGCCCTGTTACAAGAATTATTTTAACAGCTAGCTATTTCGTTAGAGTCGAGCACAGAATCTAGGCTCAGGATGGAAATACTCATACATGAATATATGCTCCTAAGAATTAATCTTATTTTTGTTCTTCTGACATTTTCTGTGATATATTTTTGAAAACGGCTCACGTAATTTGCACTAATATCCCTTGTAAGAGAGCGAGAGAGATATATAGAGAGAAAGAGCAAGGGAGGAATACCACAAAAGGCACCGGTGTGTCAAGGTAGTGTATATTATTAGACGGGGGGCTCAGGTATTGCAGTGTCTGCTAACTCGTCAACCTGTTTAACGTGTGTTTACTACAAAAGACGTGTCAGTTCAGATGATTATCTGCGCTACTTGCCGTAATTGCCGGGCAGCCAATTGTTAGGGAGAGCATACCTGTCATTCAAGTTCTATTGTAAAAATTCATTAGGGTTTCTTAAATTAAAATAGAAGCATTTATGATCGTGGTAACAGTATGTTATTTACGTTGGAAGTTATTTATATTGTAATTTTTTCACAATAGTAATGTCTTGGATGTTTTGTGTAGTGGAATTGAATGCATTCTCCGTTGAAAAGTGCGATTTTAAATGTACTTATGGGTTGTCATTCATACCATGTTTTCTAAAATTGGAATGGGCTATTCAAAATGTGAATACTTACAATTTAAAGACATAACATTGTTATTTAGAGAGAGAAATGTGGCTAGCCCACAGAAGCGTGCAGTTTTATCGTCCTTCTTAATAGCACACTGTATCTGGATCATGTTGATAAGATAATCCAGTGTTGTTTTGTAGTAGAAATTAAAATTCTCTCACCCGCTTGCTGATTTAAGATTGGAACTGAGAAGTAGGTAGAATCAACCCTTGCAACAGGCAGTGGTATCTTGGAAGGAGCAGATGTGTTAATTCTAGGTGAAAATGATCGCTGTGATTTGCCGGCGTGGTACTCCTTGCGTGTTAATATCAACTGAAATAGACATTGTAATATAATGCTTTGTTGATTTCCTGTCAATTTCAGCGGAAACTGACACTGTAATTGAACAGCTTGTTAGATCAGGTGCGCATGTCGCAGTAGATTTCATCATATGCCCTGTGACAATATTTTTTTCTTTCTTTTTTATTTGAGGAATATTTTTATGAGATTTTAAGGAGCAGGTTTTGTTGTGATTTCATTTTTTTAATTTTTGGTGTAAAGCAGTCTATTATTATTTAGGTCGGTTGTGAGACTTAAGATTGTGCGGATATTCAGTTATATATTTTCGCCCAACCTTTAATTTACCTATTATTATTATTTCCCGACAAACCCTCCTCAGTTTGACAGGGTGATGTGTTATTTTTAATTTGACCACTTACATTGATTTAATCATGTGAGAGTGCAGTTAATTTTTGTTACTATTATTATAATAATACGTTTTATTTTTCTTTCTTACACACGAAAATTTCGTAGTGCATTTAGAGTTCAGTTGACCTGTATGCATTTTGTGTACAAATATCAAGAGATCATGACTTTGGTTATTTTACGTAAAACTTTTGTAACTGTTTTCCAGTGTATTGGTATTTATTATTATTATTATTATTATTTTGAGAAACACAGTCTGTGCAAGGTGAAGTCATCTGTGTGAGAAAAGAAATCGACGACGTGAGGTCGTTTCTCTTATATTTGTTGTTGAGAGTATTTTGGACGAAGTAAACAATTTTAAATGATGTAAGATGTTTGTTCAATCTTTTGGTAATCATGTGTCCCTTATATTTATTGTTAACACTGCGTGGCATATAAATATTTTTGGAGGGGAACTGTAAGGAAGACGCAAAGATGAAGTGGAGCATCAAAAATGGGGTATGGGGTGAAATGACGATGACATTTTCCTTTACTTTGTTCAATATTTGCAGGAGAAAAAAACTAACGTCAAAGTCAATAGCAGGAACACCAAATACTCACACGTGGTGAGTTTAAAGTCGATCTTACTGGGGAGGGTATTAACATGATAAAACGACCTGGATATCCTGTGTTTTCTTACCTGTCCATACGATGTGATAGTCCTCAGATACAAGGGACAAGTTAAGGTGTTCAATATAGCTCGAAGTTGACCCAATCTTTATCGTCACTTTACCTGCCGGGCTCAGTTATCGCGGGTCTTGGATTCTTCAGTGTATAAACCGTGTTTGCGAAAGGTGTGTGATCCCAAACGAAACTTAATAACGCGATTTTAACCTACACGAGGCTGGAAGGGGAGGAGTAGTGAACGCAATGGAGTGGGTTAAGTTTCGATCTGTAGCAAACGATTTAAACTAATCTTGGAGAGATACTGGCAGATATCCGGGGTGAAGAGAAAGAGTTAGGGCTCTTAGGACCATAACGCGACTTAACACCAAGTGGAGTGCTTATATACGGGATTGAAGGCACTCATAACAAGGCTGTTGACGGCCACGGGACGAGTCTTTTAATAANAAAAAAAAAAAAAAAAAAAAACGCAATGGAATATTGCGCTTAATATTGTGGGGCAAATTCGGGGGTCATGAGAGGAGATATAGAGGGGTGTGAGAGGTCTTAGAGCCTGTTTTGTCGGACACGGTTCTAGCATCGCATTCTTTATTGCCGCTTGTTCATACTGAAGCAGATTTGGTCGCATTGAATAGGCGGGAACCCGAGCCTAAATTGACAAGCCCCCGGAACAAAGGCGAGGAAAATGCGGCCTTTCTTTCGCGAGATTCCATTTGGAGTGGAGCATTGTAGTCAGTTAAGCAAGTCGCTCTATAACTCTTTGTCCGAGACTGTATAGTCGCCCAATAGACGACAATAGCTCACTGGTAGGATAACAACGAAGAATAACAATATAATAAAAAATACATGAGTAATGAATCGGGCTTGCGCACACACAAATGCCCAGGTTTTAAAAGCTAAGACTGCAAGAATAGAGGCCACTGAAGGCGGAATAAAGGCGTTAATATGCCCATGATGGCGCTCAAAAGCCTCACCATACAACCAATAACAAAGCGTGAATGCCAGAGCTAGAGAATGAATAAATATACTAAGTTGATTTGAAAAGGTCGGTCTGAATGTAGAGGTGTGGTAATAACCTATTATCTGCATACCCCCGGGTGCACCGCGAACAATTGTATTGTAACCGCGCACAATCGGCAGGACAAAAACACAGGTTCGCCGGGACAAAGCGCGGTAAATATTTAGCAGCGGGGCAACACGGGGATTGTTTACCCGGTATAGGCGCGGAGAGGGTTTTCCATTGAAGTTGCTTTGAGACCCTATTCTGTTCTTTCGTCCAACATGACTTATGGAATTTTCGCTTGGCTGCCTTGGTCGGAAACGCCACAAGACTTGGAAAATATGAACAGAATAACCAATATCAATTATGTGATTTTATTAGGGGGCCTTTATGGACCGTTTTGCTGAGGATTTCAACCGGAAAGAGTAGTAACACGAAGTCGTTTACTGGGGTCCTCAGCGCCCCTCTCTCTCTCTCTATCTTTGTTAACCATTATTTCCACCCACGTTTCATTATTAAAGACTTAAACCATTTTCTCGTCCATTATGTCCTCCATCATTTCTTCCCTCTTTCTTTCCTTTCTTGTCCTTTTACCCCACTCCTCTCTTCGCTATCAAAAGATAATATTGTCATCTTCTGTCCACCCTAGGTAACTCCTCTCTCTCTCTCTCTCTCTCTCTCTCTCAGTCACAAACACACACTAAATTAATTATCTACAATACTATTTTAATCTCTTATATTTGATTATATAAAAGTGCATGCAGATCTCATTCACAGACAATCTTCCAACCGTAATCGCTTCATGTCCGTTCCAAAAATAATTTCTGCTAATTAGTCGAGGTTTGTTATAGTTTTCAGATTTGTATGCGGGTTGGCTTTTTGTTTTCGTATGGTCTACACGGAATTAACAGTAACGTCGTATATAATTCTGCTTTAATATGACGGCGGGTGCTGGTTTGGAAAAAAAAAGCGACCTAAAAATAATCTCATGTCGGTGTAACCGGGAGAAATAGACGAAGATTTAGTGTTCCATAAGATTGAGCGATAAACCCGTTGAACATGCCCGAATATCGTGAAGAATTTTACTGTGAATTTCTGGTTTTGCTGTCTTTATCTATGTAATATTTACACCTATAAAACCATAACCATTAGAAGAAAAAAATTAGAAAACTGGATTCCACAAAAAGAGAACAACAAATGAATCCACTTTAAAAATGCCTAATCTTATTTTCCTTTTGTTCCTACAAGGTAGGAAGTCATGATCTTCCCCTTTTCTACAAAGATGTCTCAAAATACCTATTGTGGTTTAGTAACACCTCTTCGGTGATTTTATTTTCTTCGAAATAATATTATAAATAAATTTATTAAGCCTGGCAACCAAAAGGTTGATGTTATACAAATGTAATTGCGTATATATATTCATTTATAAGAAACACCGCATAGAACTCCACAGTTATGTTTGGAATTAAAATTTCTTATATAAAAAAACTTCATAAATTATTCAGGCCCGTAGCCAGAGGAGATTCGGGGAGTTAGAAAGAACCACCCTTTTTGCCAGGAAAAGGTCCATTCTGGGTAAAAATTGATCAAAGTGCAAAAAAGTGTCTGTATACGGGCCTGATACGCGAACAGAACACCTCTTTGCCACCGGTGCACTAAGGTTAACTCTTACTATACAAACAGTATATTCGATGAATGCTCAAGCCACAATTTGATCATCTATTCAGAGGAAAACACTGATGTTGACCCGCTAATAATCGCATCCGTGTTTGATCATATGAAGCTATTATAGTGCGATCACATGAAGACAACATGATTGTGTGACTTATACCGTGTTCGTGTTTTCAGCCCAAGCTGACGCTATATAAATTAGTCCTCAAGTGTTTGGGCTTTTCATTCATTGATAATTACAACATAATTATAAGGCATTGTTTGTGGTCAGGAACACGAGGCATTCACCCTTGCGTTCAACTGAATGATATTTTCACTCTATCACACCTAGGGCTCATTTTTTGAGACCCACATCACATGGGAAAATAGAAAAAAAATTACAAAGCAAATCCATTTTAGATGCTCATAGTAACAAAAATTATGAATTGTTTGAACATGTACCTGTCTTTTGAAAATTCTTAAAAGGAGCATATTCTCAGTCACATCATAGAATCGTTTAAATAAAGACTGTCTTCCTGCATACATAGCTTCCTTTTATTCGTAAAAAAATAAACGATGTTTAGACAAACAGTCCCAAATATTAGGGCAGATCTCTCATGCAAAATAATCTGTTTTTTTAGCTAAAAATCAATTAATACATTTCGTATAATCTTATTAAACCATCAGTTATTTTTGCACAGAAAGTCTTTAAAATGTACCATTATAAACTATGACACCGGGGCACAGTAATAGTTATCACAAAATTACGTGCCAAAAACTAGAAAAGGCACTGTCATCCAAAACGGATTTGCCTGCCACATTGTTACAACACTGATGAATTAAGTTGACCTTCGCTGAGAAAAATAAGGGAATTTCGCTAAGGTCCATAACGACTCCTATTGCCTTACCGATCCCATTATACGAGGCCATTTTACCGTGTAAACGGTGGGGCGATTCTCACCAATTATGACGTAACAACTGTATGATTAACGACACTAACCACGCGGAATAGATGCATTAAGGATAATAGAAATGTTGAGGGGTGGAGCCCAGCGGTTCAAAAGTCACGTGCAGTGTCAAAATTCTTGTTCTCTCTCCACACAACTTATCTAGACAATTCAGCGTGGAAGAGGCGAGGTGGCAAAGCACTACTATGTTCTCAACTTGTTTTGTTGTTGCGATCTGTCCAGTTTTGAGTGTGGGCACAAAAGGTGGATTTACACACGCAGTGAATGGAGGGGATTCTTGTGGATCAAGCTTCATTAGTCTTCAATAGCGGCTCAATATGTATTATTTCGATAATTAAGATTAAATTTGCAGCATAATTTACAGCAGAAGTTATATTGTTAATTGCAGTTTGCAATAAATAAATAAATAAATGAATAAATAAATAAATAAATAAATAAATAAATTTAATTTAATGAGATGGTGCTGTCACATAAAAGACTGCAGTTTTTTTCACAATCTTGCGGCACATTCTCTGATTAAATCTAAAAATTGGTCAATACATCTTGTATACTGTTGTTTTGTTTATGATAAGAGAGCTTATGAAATTAATTGTGATTAAAGAGAGAGAAAGAGAGAGAGAGAGAGAATATTCAAGTAAACAGAAAATAAAATATTAAAAAAGCCATCCAAAGAAAATGTTGTCCTTTCAAATTTGATTTGAACCGAAGTCAAAATGATGAGACAAAAAACTAAAGCTTTTGCACACTTAATTTACAAAGTTAACATTGAGCCACGTCCCTGATTCTGGCCCTTGTACAGTTCAACAGGTCCCCGGGGGTGGTAATGCCCAATATCAGACATCCTCCCCCCCTACAGCAGAGGCCAATGGGATGGTGACGTCATTTCTGAAATTATGTGCAAAAATTCGTACTGTACAGATTGTGCAGAATTAGCCAGAGAAATGAGTCAATATCTAGTGAAAAAGGGAGTCTCTAGAAAAATCATCTGTGGATATAAAAATGTGTGAATAACTAGTTAAAAAATTATGGATATCTAGTAAAAATTTTCTATGGTCCAGGTGGGGTGTACCACTTCCCTCCCATC